GCTCCCTGTCGCCGCCCCCTTTCCCCCTCCCCCGCCCCTTCCGGGAGTCCTGCCACTCTTAGTTTAGTGTCCATCAAGAAGAGCGGGAAGAGGAGAGGGAAGGGCGGGCAGGAGGAGGGGGAGGGATTTACGCGATAATCAATGGGTGGTTTGGGAGCTGCCCGAGAGGGGGGAGTATTGTGACGAAGGGTAGAAGGGAAGTTGAAAAATCGCCCCCCCCCCTTCCCACTGAAGAGACCGCCCTGGACCCGTCTATGCACACGACGGTATGATACTAATGACGATGACTTCTGTGCTGGATGTGGGAATGCGTGGTCATCAGTATGTGCGTGCATCGCTAGCTTGGGAACCAGGAAAGCTGCATCGCTAGCTTGGGAACCAGGAAAGCTGGGAGGCTGAAATTTTCAAGGAATGTACTGATTTGTTAACATTTCCAAATGCTGGATTGGGAGCTGCACTGGCGATTCCTACCCCCAGTCCACACCGAATACTGTCTGTGTTTGCAGCTTAGGGATGAAACACAGACACCTATGTCTACATTCAACCTTCACACAGGTCCACACTACATCTAAACCTTTTTCCACAACATATGTTGTTTCACTATCTCTTTTCACTTCTTATTTTCTTGGTCTTTCCTTTCATAGCATTTTACTCGGCTACATTTCCGTTCATTTCATTCCATTCCATCCCCAAACATTCCGGTGATTTCGTTTTGTGGGATATTGATAGCGACCATGCTTCACGCTGTGATTCATCTCACTCGTCTTTCTGCATCGTCTCTTACCCTTTCCTTCCTCTTCTTCAAGCTATTTCGCACTTTAATAATTAGTGGGTAGAGGGCTGTGCTTGGTGAGTAGAGGGCTGCACTGATCATTCCTATCCCTGTCCAGAACAGGTTACTGTCTCTGTTTACAGCTAAGGGATGAAACAGAAGCAGAATAGTTCTGCGAATATTTCTTCAGAAAATGTAACTCAAGCATGTTAGCTGGCCTTTTATAGTGTGTCCTTAGCTCCACAATCTTTCTCTTCGTTTTCTTTCATCTTACAGTTATTTTCCTCCATCCACGATTAAAGATACAATTTCTTCGTTTGCCTTTCTTCTAGAAGTGTGCCGAGAGAGAGAGAGCGAAAGGATGCCGTTGGACTATTCGAAGTGGAAGACGATTGAGGTGTCGGATGACGAGGACGACACGCATCCAAACATCGATACACCGTCACTGTTCAGATGGCGCCATCAGGCACGCCTGGAACGTATGGCTGAGCGTAAACAGGAGAAGGAGAAGTTGATGGAGGAGAAATCGAATGCCGAGAAACGAATCATGGTAATTTTTCAGCTGATCACTATGTTTCCGTTAGTTCCAGAAAGCTTTCATTCATGGAAAATCGATTTTTAAGCTTTCATCCATGAAAATTGATTCTTAAAAATCGTAAAATTGATTTTTTCCTTCAAAATCGTAAAATTGAATTTACGATTTTTATGACGAAAAGGACAAATTTTATATGACAAGAGCATCAAGGAAGTTGGTAATTTCTTACATAACCACTGCGTTGCAATTAATTCTAGAAAGATTTAATCCGTGGAGAGAGTCATACGATTTTTGTAAAGGAAACGAAAAATTACATGTACGAAGAAACACCCAAGAAAGCCCAGGCATCAATCTGGATATTCCATTTTAGTGATTTTATTGGGATGTTTTTTATATGCCGAGCTCAACAAGATTACACATATATTTACTTGAATACTTGAGCAGCTGTATGTCATCGACGCCATCGTGCAGCACTGGCAACTTCTCCATTCGACTCGTTATTACGCTGTCCGAGTTCATGCGATACCGTACAGTTGTACCATCGGATCTCTCCATCTCACTGGTGGCCTCCCCAGTGTTCGCTTAACTATGCACGGATACCATTCCATTACATATAACAAATAAATAGCAACGCGCACCAGACTAGCCGGTGCGATCATGCGTTTTGTGCAATTCAGCC